CCGTGCACTCCAGTATGTTCGGGCCTTTGGCTGACCCCCACCCCCCCCCCCAATCGATGGCGTCGCCCGTAGCGAGGCCGAGACCCTGCGCAGCTCCATTGCCACCACCACCTCCGCCCTGGCCACCGCGCAGGCACTCATCCAATCGCAAGGGGAACACATTCTCGTGTTTGAGAAGACAATTGCCCTGCAAACAAATCAGCTGGAGAGCGCGGCCTCCCGGCGTGATGCCCTTGAGAAGGAGGTTGACCGACTGACGGCCGAGCTTCGCATGGAGACCAGCGCCCGGCGCCGTGCCGAGGAAAATATCCGCATCTTGGAGGGGACCATCCAGCGGTGCGTCTGCCATGCCCCCCTTCCTTTCTGGGCCCGATTTTGTTCTTTCCTCCCTCCTCCGTTGCTTGTATCCCCCATCCCCACCCCCCACCCGCTGCCCGGATGCGATGCCCCCGGTCAACCTTGCTTACCCATGTCCTTTCCCCTGCCCGACCTCAGACTCGAGCACAAGCACATCACCACACTCACCGAGAAGGATGCCTTCGCGGACGAGTCGCGCCTGACAGCCTGGGCACTGAAGAATGCCCAAGCCGCGCTGCAGCGCCTGCAGCAAGAGCGCCACCAGGTAGAGCGGCGAGCTTGGGTGGCGGACGAGGACGCACCGAACTGCGGCGAGTGCCATCGGCACTTTACGTTCTTCCGGCGGCGGCACCACTGCCGCCGGTGTGGGCGCATTTTCTGCCACGCTTGCTCCTCGAAGGTGGCCCTGACCACGGCGGCTCCGACCCCGGTGCGCGTCTGCGACCATTGCTACACCGCATGCACGAATGCCGCGGGCAATGACACCGGGCCCACCAGTGTCGCCAGCGCGGGCCCCTCCCCCGGCGGCGCAGCAGCCTCATAGACATATCTCGAGCCATCGGGCGCGAGCTCGGTGCTTGGTCATCTGTGCTTTTTTTTTGCTCCTTTTGACTCATATACGGGCGTGCGCCATGTTGCAAGCTCAAGGGGGGGGGGGGGTATCTGATGTTCGTGTATTTGCGTGCGCACGGGTGTGTCCGTGCGGGGGTGCATTGTGAAGAGGAGGGTCCACGCGCGCACGTGCAGGCGGGGTGTGTGGGGGGGGGCATCCGTGTCTCTTCCCCCTCCCCGCTCCATGTCAATGGTGGAGCAGCAGGGAGAGGCCAGGAAGGTGAGGGACCGGCGGAGGCGGGCATGCGCTAGATGCTCTGTGGTGTGTTGTACGGGAGGCGGTGTGTTAGGGATTCTCGGGTCGGGAAAAGGGTGCAGTCACGGGGCAGGCGGTGGCAAGTGTGGTAGAGGCAACGCGCGCGCGCGCGCGCGTGCGCACCAGCTCGGCCGCGGTGATGGCCTGCGCCAGGGTTTCCAGCGTGATGGCGCAGTTGTACGCCGGCGACTCCTGGTAGTCGTGCGTCAGGCAATGGGCCAACTCCTGGCGGAGCTTGTGCACCTGCTCAACATCAGCCGGCATGGGGCTATGGCGCACAGGGAAAAGAGGCGAGGAGGGGAGGGGGAGGGGGGGGGGGAGCGAGCGAGCGAGGGGCATTTGTCGGAAGGTCAGCCAGGCCGGGTAAACACTCTCAGAGCCGCGGGAGAGGGAAGAAAAGGGAGGGGCCTTGGGCCCATGCCGAAGGGGACCCACCTCTCCACCGGGGTCAGGGCGCTGAAGGACCGATCCAACCGGACGGCCAGGTCCTGGGTGTGCTCGTGCAGATCCAGCAGGTGCTGGCTGCGCACGCGCTCGGCCTCGAACTTCTCCAGGTTCTTGGCCTCCTCGATGGAGCGCTTGGCATCGGCGAGCGCCTGGTTGTAGCCAAGCTGATAGGTGTGGAAGGAGGCCGACCCCATGAGCAGGGACCGGCGGTCGGGGAAGAGCTGCGACAGCTCACGATCCAGGTCCAAGGAGGTGACAGCCGGGCGTTCCGCGCCGGCCGCGTCCCCGGCCAGGTGGTGCCGGAACATCTCCCGCTCGGCTAGCATCTCGAGAAAGCACTGGCTCACATCCAGCGAAGAGGGCGGCACAGCCGGGGGCTGGGCCGCGGCCGCCGGCGACGGGATCGGCGCGTCGGGGTCCGGCACCGCGGTCACCCGCTCCAAGGTGGGGTTGTCCATCGCCAGAGACCGGGTGTTCTCGGTGGAGTTCAGGGCAGAGAGGGAGTTACCCATGGCTACGGGGGTGGGTGGGTGGGTGGGGGGGGGGGGGATGGGGATGGGAGGGGGAGAGAGGCCGGACCTCGCCCCTGAATTTATTTCTGCAACGACCCGCTCCAGGGGCGGAGGCATATTTCTTGTCACGATCGGGCCGGCTCTCCCCGCGCCTCCTCCCCACCCCGTTGAAGGGGTGTCCTGCCAGGGAGCCAGGAAGGCGGCTGGCCGGCGAAAGTGCCCGCGCAGTCGAGGTGAGCTTGGGGTTGTCCATCTCCAGGACCGCCTGGTACTGGTACAGGTTGGGGGGATGGGGATGGGAGGGGGAGAGAGAGCGAGAGAAGGAGAGGTGTTTCAGTAAAAAAAAAGCCCAGGCAGAGAGGAGGGGAGGGGGAAATGGCACAGGAGCGCGCACCTGGTGCACGGCTTCCAAAGGCAGTGTGTCAAGGACGAAAGGAAAAAGGGGAGGGGGGAGGGGGGGGGGGAGAAGCTTGGGTGTCCTGAGTGTCCTCGCAGACCGGCGAGGCGGACTGCTCCTTTTTTGGCAATGGCCGCCCGAGGGGGGAGGGGCCGGCCGGCGCCGGCCGGCGACATATGCTCCCGGGGGAGGTTGGCTGCGCGAGTTCAAAAGCCGGGTCCAGCCCGCGATACCCGGGAGCCAACGGACCCGACGACTAGTGCCAACTATCAAGGCTGATCACAAAGAGATCGACGATCACGCGACACGATAGCCCCCTCCAAAGATGTTGGCGGGGTAGCGGGGGCACGCCCCGGGAGCGCGGCCTTGAGGGGGGGGGGATGGAGGAGCACGGCCGGGCTGACCGCCGCACGCGCAATATTAGCGCCGGCTTCCAGGCCGCGGCGCGTGTAACTCTCTTCTTTGAGCCGGCCTATCGGCGCGCGGGCCCTTCTTTCGGTTAAGATAATCTTCCCCCCCCACATCAAGGGGGCCTCGCGCTTCTCGGCTCCTCCTCCGGCACGCCCTCGGCGAGGGCCTCTGTCCCTGCGCTCCCAACGCCAGCGAGAGGTGGCCAGCGTGGCGCGCGACCGGGGGCAGGAAGGGGGGGGGGGGGGGACGGCGATGGAGCCCCGGTGCCCCGGGCCGCAATCGAGCGTGCGTGGCTGCGGAATTATTTCCGGCCGAAGCACCGCGCGGGCCGCCCCCGCCCCCCCCCCCCCCCCACACCTCACATGCCCCCGCCCGACCACGGGGGAGGAGGACGAGGCCGATCTACTGGACACGCGCCAGCATTGACCTGGCGATCGGCCTATCACGTCTATCCGGGGATCCTCGGCGATTGCATCTTGAAGCTGGGCGACGATCTTACTCTCTCGCTCGGCCCCTGACCGGCTGGGAGATCTCTGCCTCCGGGGCCGCCCCGAGGCAAGGGGCCAGATGGCGTTGGCGTTCTCCGCTGGCCACCCCTCCCCCCCCCCCCACCGCCGCGCAGCCCCGGTAGATGGGGCCTGACTGGTGGGCATGGGGCGATTCCCTCCAAGTGGGCGATCTGGCCCCTCGGCTGTGGAGACACCTGGGGCTGGGGCGTTTTTGGTATGGGCAGCCCGGCAGCCCGCCTCTCCGCGCGGGGGTTGTCCATGCGCGAACTGCCCGACCATACCCTTTGTGAGGATCGTCCTCGGTGACCGGCAATGGTGGCTCAGCGACACGATGCTCCTCCCGATTTCCCTCCCTGCTGCTATTCTCCCCGCCTCTCTCCTCTCCTGCCCTGCCCTTGTGCCCGAGCTTCCTTCCTTCTGTGCACCCACGTAACGGCCTCCCTCTCTTGGACTCCGAACTCGGGAAGACGACAGTTCGCATCTCCTTGCGCACTCCTGCTCCCACGCACGCGTGCGTGCGCCTTCCCCGCCCTCCCTCCCCGCTCCGCCCCCCTTTCGGCTCACCCTCCCGCAGTATACCCGCCCAGAGTCCCCTTGCACCCCAGCACGAGCAGACACCGCCCGCGCGGAGAGAGCCCGCCCCGGCCAAGGAAGCCCTCCCATCGTGCAGGAAGCCTTCCCGATTGCCTGCTTCCAGACCGCCCCTTTCCCTCCCTCGTGCGAGGATGGACCCTCGCGGAGCCCAGGGGATCTCCACCCGCTCGGCCCACAGCGAAGATGAATCGCACACGACCTTGAGCCTGCACCCTGCCGGTGGCCGGACATTGTCTCCTGGTGCCCGAGGCGTCCGGTCCATGGCCGGGTCTATGTCACTCTCGGGACTCGGCCATGGGCCCCGATGCCCGGGTGGCACTTCGGACCCCGACTTGCCCGGCATGAGTGCTCGCCAGCTGAAGGATCGCTTTGGCGTGCAGCTCTCCATGTCCCCGGTGTCAGTGGCCAACGCCGAGGAGCCGTTGGATGGGCTGGTCACCCTGCCATCGGATTTGCCTGGCCCCGGCCCCGGCCCCGGCCCCGGCCCCGGCCCCGGCCTGGTCCGGGCCCCCCCCAGCCCCCCGCGGCGAACATGGGCCGAACGAGCAGCCGACGACCTTGTGGGCATGGTTCTCCGCGTCTCCGGCGAGGTCTCGGCCGAGGAGGAGGCCCTCTCACCGGCGGCATCCCCACCGCCATTCGGTGGCCACCGTCATCGGGGGCCCCGTAGCTCGCACCATGAGAGCGATGACCCGGCCGGGGGCCGCCGCTTTCCGACCGACCAGCCACTGGTCCTTGGGTCTCCAAGGCCGGCCCCGCGATTGGCCGCGCCTAGTGCGCCAGCCCCGGGCGGTCTTTTGTCCCCCGGGATCCGGGCTCCCGCGTCCCCAGCGCCGTGGTGGCCGAGCACCAGCGGTCTCATGGACCACTCCAGTGCCGGGCCGGCTACGGCCGGGCCCGTGGCCCCGCCCGCGAAGGGACCTCGGGGGCTGCACCTCCGGCGCCTCGTGGGTCTGCTCCGGTGGACAGCCACCGCGGCCGTGGCCCTCCTGGTGTGCTTCAACTTCGCCCATGCTCTACGCCAGGCCATGCGTGCGCCAGAGCCGGTGCCGATGTTTGCCACGGCGGCGCCGCCGCTGTCCCAACTCCTGGCTCCCTTTCAGCCCGACTGCGTCCGGTGCAGCGCGGAATTCCTACGTCAGCCGCTCGTCCGCGGGCTACAGCAACAGCAACATCAGCAAGACGCGCAGCAGCAGCAGCAGCAGCAGCAGCAGCAGCAGCAGCAGCAGCAAAAAGGTCAGCACCTCGGCGCCCGAAACCCGCCGAACCCTCGCGCCGGCACCCGGACTCGCGGCATGTCTCGGCGTGAGTTTGAGCGCTGGCAGGCGCGCCGGCTCTGGTGTTGTCCGGCTGTTGTGACGTCTGCCGACCCTATGGCCGGCTCCTCCGATCCCGGGGGACTGATTGATTGGCTAGCCTGGGCCCGGGTGTCTTTCCTCCTTTGGGGAGTTCTTTCGATGGCGGCCGCACCGCCGGCGGTCTTCCGCGCACTGAATGCCACCCCGGCGCATGTGTGGTTTTGGCTTTGGAGCCGGTCACGCTTCCTGGCCCTCAATCCCCGAGGGGCATCCGGATCGGCCGGTGGGCCAACGGCCCTGAGCAGCCCGTCGGACATGGCCGCCGGGTTGATGTCGCCGCCCTTGCCGGAGGCCGGGGCTGCTCGTTCGCTGGAGTGGAGCTTCCGCGGCCTGGGCAGTGGGCTTATTTTCCGCCGTCGGCGGCCGGTCGACACGCGGCGTGCCGCCATCACCTCACCCATGATCCCTCGGGTCCGGCCTGCCCGTCCGAGCCGGCCACACTTCGCCGACATCCTGGACAGTGCGGCGGCTGCTGGCCGGGCATGCCTGTCCTTCCATCGGGCGCTGCTGCTGGTGGCCATCATCGGGCCCCTTTTCTGGTCCTCTCGAGGAGGGCTCGGGTCGTTGCTTCTTGGCCAGGGGGGAGGTGTCGCCGTCACCGCCGGGCTGGGGCCTCTGGATGCATCGGCGCCTGGTGCTTCCGGCGAGTCCTGGCCGGTGCTGCCGACCCCCGTGCGGCCGTCCTTCCCCCCCGGTGCCGGCTCAATTGCCGGCACCTGCGACATGGGCGATAGCGCGCCGGTTGCCGTCCTGCCTGCGGACTGGCATCCGCAACCGCAGCCGGAGCTGGAGCCGGAGCCACAGCCCCAGTCCAGCTCCCCCCCCGGCATCGGCAGCCTTGTCGACTGGTTCGACGTGTGCCGGAGCTTGTCCCCTGCGGAGGGGCTCTGCGAACATCTGACCACCGGGCGCGGGCGTTTTGATGGGCTTTTCATTCTCCTGTGCTCGCTCCTCGCGGCGTATGTCACCTCGCTGGAGCCATCCAGCCCGCTGGACAGGGCCTCGGCCATCGGCCCCCCGGAGGACGCCCTCCTCGTGGCCAAGCCCTCGACAGATGCCGGGGGCCTGCCGCGTGCCAAGTTCCCCGGGGTTTCGGTCGGTCCTCGGCATGATGGGCTCCTTGCTCGGATGTGCATGGATTGGGGCCGGATCCGGCGGTTCCTGGCCACCGGCCGTCTGGGGCCGAGGCCCCCTCACGGCGCCATGGCCAGCGAGACCGCGCCAATTCCCGACCCCATGCAAACCAATGGCTCGGACCCGCGCCGGCGGGCCTCGTGCTCGACTTTCGGCACGCATTCAAGTGCCCCCTGCCCGGCCCCGGTCATCCGTCGACTGGAGGACCTCGGCCCGGAGGCCCGGCGTCACCTGAAAGAGCAACTGAATGACATCTGCATTGTCCAGGGCGGTGCGTGGCCGAGGCGATCCCATTTCCCTCTCCCCCTTTCGAGGGTCTCCGTCTGCGCATCTTCTCTCTCTCTCTCTCTCTCTCTCTCTCCCCCCGGATCCTGTGGTCGTGTGGCCTCCACGGCACCTGCGTTGGCTGCTGACATTAACTCGCCTCCCCCCTTGCCCCTTCCTTCCTTCCGCTCTCCTTGGGCTCTCTCCATGCTGGCCCCTCGCATCTCAGGCCCCGACTTTCTACACTCTTACTTGACCAGCACCAGGTTGGTGCATGTGACACGCTACGGCGTCTTCCTGGTGGACCGGGCTGACATTGAGCGCGTGCGCGTGCACACGGCCTTCCACATGCCGGCCTCGGTGTTGTCCAACTCGCTGGGCCTGCGTGCCTGGACCTCGGAGGATGAGGAGTTCGGCGCGGAGCCGGGCTTCGGCGGGGCCGGCACCGGGCCGGGCTTCGCTTCCAATTGGCTCATGGCTGATGGGTGGTTTGGAGCCGATCTCTCTTCGCCGAGCCCGGTCCCCGGGGCCCTCGGTCTTGTTGGGGGCCCCGGCTCACACCGGTACTCGCCCAGTGGCCCCGGAGCCCTGAGCGCTGCATGGGGCACGGGCGGCTGGCAGCTTGTGGCCATGGGAGCCGGCAGCTGCGCCGCTGGCATCGACGCGGCCGGGCCCGGGGCCGAGGTGCAGGTCCTGGTTGGGACTCTCTTCCTCCGGGGCGGCATCCGGGCCTTCGATGTGTCCTTCCTGGCGCGCGATCTGGAAATCCTACAGGTGAAACTCCGGGCATCCGCGGCCGGGGGCGCCCAACAGGCGCCATTGCGACCGGATGCCCCTTCGGTGGCTGCCGCCGAGGGCGATGGCCCGGGCGGCCCGGCCCCGGAGGTCATCCACTTCGCCGCTGGCATCCGGCCGACGCTCACCCCGGCCCAGCGATTTGTTCGGCGCATGCTTCGCGAGGACCGCATCGTCCATGGGAACTCGCGGAGGTACTTGCGCGAGGAAGCCCGGAGGCTGCAACGACCTGGCTGGGGCCCGGCCCTCGGCGACCCCTCGGTCACGAGCTTCGGTACGGCCAAGGAATCGCTCTTCCCGCGTCTGCCCCCCCCCCCC